ATTGATAAGATTTGATGGTAATGGAAACCATGGTTGAATTTTAGTATGATCTTGTTCATCAACGACATATTTTGAATCATGGAACCAGGTCCATGGAAATGGGCCTGTATCACCCTTTGGATCTGTCCTGTACCAACAATCATTCTTTAAAAAAAACATATTATTTAAAGAGAAAAACAAGAAAATTTATCTTTTACTTTGGTCAATTCTGGATAATCAGGATTGAAATTGTACAATGTATAACCCTGCGAAGCTGGCTGGGAAAAACAGCTTATGGAGTCTATTTGTTTATAATGAATTATTTTCTACTTACGGAATCTAGTTCAGCACCTTCAGGCTTGTATTTAATCAGGTAAACTTCCTTTTGTTGTGCTCGCCAACCTTCAATATCAATACGAGCTCTTAAATTTTCATAATCATACAATAATTTTTGAACGCCCAGTGATGTATCCCATGACTGTAATCCAGTTATATTTATTGTTGCTTGAAATTGTTTCGGGAAACCTTTTTGACTGAGACATTGGTTAATACATAGAGTCAACAGTATCAACAATATTGTTCGTTTCATTTTTCAAACTTTTTGAAAATTACTCACAATATTGTGAAAAAACCATCGAAGAAAATAGCAAAAAACAAGTCACTTTTATATACAAATACTTGCTCTGTCATCATTAACACTAATATCATGTTACAATTTCAATTATAACATGATATACAAATTAAGCCATGATTAAAAGAGAAAACGCGCAATTCTTTTCTTTTGTACGACATTTTGGGATCATGAGCATCAACAATAACAGTAGATTTAGAGGCTACAGAAGAAGAAAGTATTGATGTAATGTTCGATAAAATCGAGGAAATCATTTGTGATTATCTGTGTGCACCTCGTCGACATTTTTTACATTGTCGAGTACTTCAATGAAGTTTGGAAGATGATTTGTCATGTGTATTTAGTACGGTGGTCATCATCAATCCACGAGTTACTAAAAATTGACTTGAAACAACATAAGATCTATCGATTGCTTTTGTTCTTGAGTAAATGAATATAACGTTGAAGTTTTTGTTTTTTTTTCTCCTAGAAACTATGCATCTTGCTTTTTGTCTGTTCTGATGCACAAGATCATTGGTGGGATAAACTCTTTGCTAATCAAGTGCACACAGGAGAAGAGATAGATCATGAACAACAGAAATAAAAAAAAAAGAAATGCCATGGTAATCGAAAGCCTCAACATTTCAGGCGAAAATGTTGTGCTTGTGAAATGATTGAAGAGCAAATTATTAACTTACTGAATACAAGGAAAGAAGTATGTCCAATAAGTGATGTCAACAATATAGCTGGTGCAAAGCATAGTAAACTAAAGAACCTAAAAAGAAAATCTAAAAAACGAAAACGACATTCAATCAGAACAGAAGAAGATAGAAATATGTTGAAATCCATTAATCAATTATGGGAGTGTGAGTGTGGATGTTGTTGTGAATCTTCTTTTCTCTCACATCCACACCCTCACAAGAGAAAAACATTTTAAGAATCACGACCAAAACCAAAATTAATCGAATAAAAGCGTGCGAGATCTTCTTGCTCGAAACTTTTGAGCGACTAAGGTTTGTCGATTGTTTTCCTCTCAAAAGATGTTTTTGACACATTTCAAGGAAAAAAAAGACACAAAATGTAATATATGGAAACAAACTCTCATTCCAGATGCAATACGAAGAGAAGAGTCATCTAAATATTCTATTCGATCATTTCAGGCGTTAATACAGCGGTTGCTTAGTGTTTTAACGATTTGGATTGAATGTTTTGTACATTTAATCTTTCGATATTAAGGTGCTTAATCCAATTAAGAACTCGAATTCTATGCATGTGTTCTTCAATAATGAATAGTTTGATTTTACATCTACCAATTGATTGACATTTCACTCTCTCTCTCTCTTAGTTCTACCAATTTAAAATTCGTTATTTGATAGTATAACTCCCAGTACTATTATCGGAATTTAAAATAAAGGCTAGTGGGTAAAATGCTTATAACTTTTGAAGGGAATGTGATAGAGACCTGTGGTTTTCACCGTTGGAAAGTGCAGATCAAGATACATCGGACTGTATAACAAAGATTTTTCTGAGATGGTATTTCATGGTTTTATCTCAATTATTAAAAAAACGATGCTTTAACAAGTTGAAAAAAATTATTGTTTGTAGAAAAAATTTTGAAAAAAGTAATTTTTGTTCCGCAAATTTGTTGAGAAACTAGATAGAAGCCACCAGTAAAATGAATATAACTCCTGAGCTGTAAAAGACACAGATCTGGGGTTGGTGTAGGATTGTAGATCTCGATCTAAGCTATCGATTTCACGGTTAGGAAATCAAAACTGAACATACTTTCAGAGAATGGGAGCCTCAACAAGTTTGAGTTTGAACATTACCAGGATAAACTGTATCTGATGGCCTGGTTTTTCCATACTGTTACGTGCCATGTCAGGCTCTATCCAACGGTGAAAACCGCAGGTCACCATCGCCTTCCCTTCAAAAGTTATAAGCATTTTACCCACTAGCCTTTTTTTAAAATTCCAATAATAGTTATCAAGATGTAACAGCTGACTATCACACCAATAGTGATGTGTGACCTTCGGAAAGTTCTATTCATATGTTTTGCTATTGACTACTGTTTTATAGTATCATTTTATTTATGAGAAAAACTTTTTATGACAAAGAACAATCTTTCTTTAAACGAAGAATAAAATTCGAAGCATACCCTTCTTAGAGTATCGAATTATATTTTTATCTAAAATATTACGTCTTTTCATCTCACTTTCTATACAAAAGTGAGAACGATGTAAAGTTTGAAAGAAGGTTCAATGATGATCGCCTATAAGGCATAAAATTATGCAAATCAATTACAAGATTTTTAACTTTCCACTTTTCTTAATTGCAGGTATCTAAAAGTGAAAGATTTTATTTGCTTGAGACCTGTTTTTTTTTCTTGAATCTATTTATTGATTTCAAAGAGTGTGGGTGTGGATGTGGGTGTGGGTGTGGGTGGGTGTGGGTGTGAGTGTGAGTGTGGGTGTGGATGTGTGGACCTGGATCAAGGTCTACTCTCTAACACCCACACCCACACCCACATCCCACACCCACACACCCACACCCACACCAAACCCACACCCCACACCCACACCCTCAAGATAGGTCGAAAAAGGAACTTCAATGAAAACAGCTCTTTATTAGTTAGTGATGAGTCGTTTTATCTTGAAATAGGGTTTTACAGGTTTAAAACCCATTTTTGACCATTTGTATAATATTTTTTATTGAATTTCCATTTTCGACCTATCTATGCCTGAGGGGGATCAGAGAATTAACATTTGACCGAAAAAAAAGTTGCGAGAAGGATTTGAAACATATATATATATATATATATATATATATAGATACAGTTTTGTGTGCTCATTCCAAATATTTTATTTGTTTGAAGTCAAATGGGATTATTCTCTCGAAAACTGTTCAATACCGGTCCGAAAGGTCATTAGTAAAATGCTTATAACTTTTAAACAGAATAAGATAGAAGAGTGGACCTTACATAGATCCACTCAGAAACGTCTACGCTATCACTCGACTATATTAGAGTTGATAGTTGGCATGAAAACTATTTTGAAAACTGCTTATCAATATCTACAAGGTGAATGGACCAGCTTAATCAATACAAAGTCATGATAATTTAGTATCACTTTACTTCCCCCATATTTCTCTTTTGAATGGTGAAAACCACAGGTCTCTAGTTGCTTCCGTTCGCAAGATATTCAAAAAATATCGAGGTTCATTTGTTTTTGGCGCCAACATTAGCAGTTCGTACTCGAAGTATGATAAAGCAAAACGAACGAAAGCGAAAAATGAAATGGCTAAATTCCTTATATTATTATTTATTTCAGTTTTCTTCTGTTCTCCTTAGGTATATAGAGTTGAATATTATTGTGTTGCATATCTTATCACATGCATCACTTGATTTTCTCCCACTCTTTCAGAGCAACATTTTTTTTCATTCTTGTAAGGACAGAAAAATCTCAACAGCGAGGTGTGCATATGCACGTGAGATAACGTAATATGATTTCTTACATCTACACCATCATTGATTATGCTATAATCTTGAATATGGGTTTATCATTTATCTGCAACTATGCTCCACAGTCATACGAAAGTTTATTAAGTTTTTGATTTTTTTCGATAATTCTAATTCAATGTAAGAAATTAAATGTAGACCGTTTTTTTTTTATAATCAAAAATCATATTGTTGACTTCACTGATAACATCAAACATAATTAACCATAGTTATTGATTTACTTATAAGTATACAGTATAGGAGATATGAATCACAGACTTATTGTAGTAAAATATAAATCTATAAAAACAAACTTATGTCACAGTATTATCATCCACAACTTCGCCGATAAATGATTTGAAATATGCTATGACGTAATACTTATAAATAATAGTATTTCGATGAAATAGTTAATATTTGTAAACTTTCGGGTTTTTACTTTTTTAAATATTTTATTCGTTTTATTGTAATCAAAATCGTTTAAACAAATACTCTAACTAATATTCTGAATCACAATAAGATATGGATGAAAATACACATTGTTCCTATCCATACATGGGTCTCGAGTTTCGTAACTGTTTTATTATACATGTATTTCCATCTACACAGATATAAAAGAAAATGTTGAAGTAGGATGTTCGTGTAGATAAAGGTACCATTATTAGGGTGTGGGTGGGGCGTGGGGCGTGGGTGGATGTAGGTGCAAGTTGGAGTCTCTCTTCTTCCTTACGTCAACACCTCACATCCACACCTACCCCACCACACCCACTCCCGTCCCCACATCCACACCCAACAGAAATTGATCTGCAGTACAAAATAGCCTTTATATCGAAACATATTCATGTACAACTCATTAACTATTTTGATCAGACCAATTCTCCATCAAAAGAAACATCTTGGACTTTCTATCGAGGAAAGACAATGTTACAGCATGAATTTAATATTCTGTTCAGAAATAGTTCTGGTGGTTTTCTCTCATCTCCATGTTTTCTTATGAGTAGGAACAAAAATGTAGCTATTGATTTTTTACATCGTTTAGTTACTATTAATCCTCAACGAATAGCCATACTCTTCGAAATCCATGTCGATACAACGAACCCTTTGATGAGCCCATTTACTTTCCTAGAAAATAACGAACATGAAAATCATTCACAGAAAAGCGATATATGCTTTACATTTGGTACTGTTTTTCGGATTCAATCTGTACAGCAAGTGAATGAACTTTCTATTCAAATGTGGCAAGTTAAATTGATTCTTGTGGATGACAGTGATTCGCAACTTTTTCATCTTGTTGAATCATTGCGCAAAAATGACATTCAAGCAAATCCGCTTGCATACGCCGGTAAACTACTACTCGAATCGGGAAATTTTGGTGGTGCTGAACAATTTTATCGTCAACTACTACTCGATCCATCAGTTCTCAATCAACCACGTCGATACTCTCGCATACAAACTGCTCTCGGCTCTGTTTTTACACTGAAAAATGAATTCAATAAAGCTCTTGAACATTATCAACAAGCTCTGAAAGCTAGTTTGAGCTGTTTGCATCCGAATCACCCCGATCTGATACCAATCCATAAAGCCATTAGCGATTGTTATTTGAAGACTGGCAACTATGAATTAGCATTGGAAAGCTATGAACGAGCCTCTCAACTTATGCAATCTAATATACAATCGACTGATCAGCAAACGCTTGATGATTTAAATAATCATATTGTGAATACACGAAAACTTCTCAACAGCAGTGGTGAACGTAATACTGTACGATTTTCTCTGTAATTTATAAAATAATTAATCAGACTATAGAACTATCTGTTTTTGGTTCTATTTTATCTAAGTCTGCTTACATTTGAGAATTTTCAAATAAATTACTTTTTTGTTTGATTAAAACTTCAACAAAATAGAAATTATGGGTGTGGATAAGAGTTTCGGTTTTCTTTAAACCCACATCCATCTATTCTGTAAAGTAATATGGCGCGGAAAATTTCGTATGGTCTTCAGTATAAAATGAATAAGATGAGTTCTCTGAAATTTGGCATATTTTCTCAATTGTGGTCCAATATCCAGAGGATATTTAGTGAGTTTTGTACGAATATAATCAATCGTCTGATTGATTTCATGGTCATATCTGTTGTCATCATTATTAAAGGAAGTTCTATTTTGTCGAGCAATGAAATGAACAAATAATTCATTGTTGAAATAGATTTTGTAAGACAAAATATTAGATTTTTCAAATTATTCCTTCCAAGATAATTACATAATTGAATAAACACCGAAAATAAATTAAATTCATCATCATAAAATGAAGATGGAACTGCAATTAATTTCTATAAAAAAGAGGAGATACAATTCGCAAATAATAACAGTTGTCATTACCTTTTATAAGAAAATCATTCGCACTGGATTTCATGAAGCAAATCCTTAGACGTTTATCTAAAGGAGGATATCTTTTGTTAAAGAATTCTGCTTTCTTTGAAAAAAATTATTTTTTCATTCCTTTCTCTACATATAAAAATGACGCATGTTAAAAACACTTCGCTTTGTTTTTCTCTAATGTAGACAACTACGAGCAAAAACAAATATATGACTAAATGAAATTAAAATAACGCCATCTTATCTAATAACTTACCCAGACAAAACAAAAACAAATAGAAAAAGACTTTTGATGATTAAGATCGTTTTTGAATCAAAATAAAAATAAAAACGAAAGTGCTTGCTGTCGTGCGCTTGTTTCTATCTTTTTTTCCTTATCGTGCCATACTCGCTATTATCAGATTGTCTAATCAGTAATTTCTGCTGGGTAAAAACTCAGTGTATTTTTCTTGCCTTTTATATAAAAAGACCTAAACAAAGCCTATTTCCTTAATATACTGTGAACAAATTTATTTTAAACACAAGAAAAGAACTTTGTTAACAATGTCTACCATGCAAGATAATCGTGGTAGGAGATCAAATAGTTTTCGAGGTGATTCTTCTACAATTCATGCTAATCATCGTATAAGTCATCAAACTGATAGAAGTATATCAAACTCTAGTACTATCAGGTACTATTTTATTCAAACGAATTAATTTTTTGAATACAATAATTATTTTAGATATGGTGAATATCAAAATCATCATTCATATATAAGACATTCAGAACGACGACCAAAGTTCGACGAGCAAACTCGATATGCTATTAATAACAAAAATCACCATCCTCACTATGGAAAACGTAAGTCTACAACATTTAACACAAGTTTTGATAGTCCGTAAGTTTTAATTTTGATCAAAACATCAATGAAGTTATTTTAAAATATCTTAGACAAATAAAACGACCATGTTTGCTTCCTGTTTCATATTCTACACTTGTTAAATTAGTTAATAAATCATCAGATGAAATTCTTAATGAATTGCTTCATCCAAATTTTCAATTAGACAAACTTTTAAATGATAAACGTATGCAAGAAAGATACGATTGGATTTATTCCATGACAATATTACTTGAAAAAATAACAAAATGTATAAGATCAAATGAACGTATACGAAAGGTCTTTGAAAAATTATCTGATACACTTTATCTCGAAGGTGTTTATGATGAAATTCGAAAAGTTGATCCGATTAAAAATCAACTACGTTTTAATTTTATTGAATTATTTCTTAAAATATCAAATACATTTCTTGTTATGATGCCAGATTCAGCTAATGCTTTAACAAAAATTATTGAACGTATTGAGTTACAATTTAGTAAGAATATATCTGAATCACGTGTATGAATAATAAATTAAACTATTATTATGTTCTTATTAGATAATTTATTTTCTCTTTTATTTTTGCAGGAATTTGAAGTCACAAAAAAGGTACTTGATGAAGTGCTTGAAGAAGTTAAAAAAATTGAAGATCGACAAAAACAAAAGCAAGAACTATTGAATGCAAAATTTTTAAACACTACGAATACGATTACTACTATTGAAAATAATATTGATCAAGTATCTGATGATTATCGTAAATTATCCATAGTTCCCAATTTACAAGAAATTTTATCCCAACAACCACCATGTCTTCGAAAAAATATTGTTGATGGTACTTATGATACTGGTGAACAATATCTTGATGTAAGATTTAATAAATTGAAATATTTCTTTTAGTTTGAATTATGTATGACTCAATATGTCTTGTTTTTTTTTCAGATTCATTTTCGTCTTTTACGTGAAGATTTTGTCGGAACATTACGTGATGGTATTCAACAATATTTATCCAAAGTTCCAAGAAAAAATTTTAACATACGAATATATGAAAATGTTCATCTTCTTGGTTCACGATTAATTCCACAAGGTGGACTCGTCTATGATTTACTTTTAGATTCAACTATAGCATCAAAAATAAATTGGACTAATAGTCGACGTTTAATTTATGGAAATTTTTTAGTTCTTACATTTAATAATTTTCAATCATGTGCATATTTTACAGTTGAAGATCGTTCACAAATTGAAAAACGATTCATTATATCGGTAAATTTTATTTTTTTATTATTTAATTTGTTTTTTCATTTCATATTTAATTAAATTAGGTTAAAACATTAAAAGAATTAAATAATTTTGAACAAATTCAAATAAATCTAGATGAAATTGATCGTTCATGTTCATTAACAATGATTGAAACGATGGTATATTTTGAAGCATATCGTCCAGTTCTTAATGCATTACAAATAATACCTTCGAATCATAGATTTCCTCTTGGTTCATTTCTTCTTAAATTAACAAATGAAATGACAACACCAGATTATATTAAACCAACAACAACATATGATTTTACACCACTTCTTGTTGACCTAAATTCAGATGTTAAAGCAAGTTTAATCATTCATCAAACATTTTTAGATGGTCATAACAGAATTCGAAGACGAAACGAACCTATAACAATAAAAGAATTTAAAATTGAATATAAACAAGCAAATCAAATTGACAATAAATATAAAACAATTTGCATAGTGAATAAAGATGAATGGCCAACAAGTGAAGAATTACATCTTAATCCAAAACAACGTGAAGCTTTAATATTAGCTTTAACAAATAAAGTTGCACTTATACAAGGGCGTAAGTAAAACATAAAAAGATTTAATTATTTAAAAGAAAAAAAATTTTCAAAAATTAGCACCAGGCACTGGAAAAACGTTTCTTGGCGTACGTCTAACAGAAATGCTTTTATACAATCGTTCAGTTTGGTGTCCATCTGATGAACAATCAACACCAATTCTTATGATTTGTCATACAAATCATGCACTTGATCAATTTTTAGAATTAATTGTTAAACGTTTAAATATACATGAAGGTTTGAATAATGATTTTTATTAAATAAAATTTATTATTTATGTATCTTATTTTAGGTATTATTCGTGTTGGAAGTCGATGTGAAAATCGAACGATTCAAGATTTTTCATTAACTAATGCACGTCGACTTGCTCGAGAGAAGCGTTCTATACCTCATGATGTCTATTATGAAAAACATAAAATGTTAGCGAATAAATTTGAAACTGAAAAAATTTTAAAATCACGCCAAGATGAAATGGAAAGATCACAAACAAATATAATACCTCTTTCATCATTTATTGATTGTGCTATTATTAATGATAGACATTTAAACTCATTATTAGGATCATATAATGATGAGATTGAAACAATATTATTAAAATGGCTTGATCATCATGATGAAGTCGAACAAATATCTGATGATTCGACTTCTAAAGAAGCTCTAAAAAGAAATATTTCAAGAATGGAAATAGATTATAATACACAAAGAAAATTTGAAGATAATAAAGGTAAACATGATGAATATGAATTCAATGAAGAGGAGGAAGAAGAAGAACGTAGACGAGATGAACTTGATATTGAAGGATATGATAATATTTCTTTGTCAACTGTTCGACAACCTGAAATAGTTAGCGTAAATCGTATGGATATAGAAATATTATCGAAATACGACGACCATAGTAAAAGAAAATCGCAAACTGTACAACAAGACTCGAATAATAGTCGTCGATTTATTGAATATATCGACCAAAATCCTACAACTCTTAATGATGAGACAGTTAAACAAATAAATGATAATATATGGAAGCTTTCTGCAGTTGAACGTTATAATCTATATGGATATTGGCTTTTAAAATATCGACAATATTTGCATTCTTTGATTCATATCACAAGTCGAGACTATAATGAAGCTGTATCCGATCTTGCTGAATATCGTCAAGAAGAAGATTATCATATTTTAAAAGATAGTATTATCATTGCTATGACAACAACATGTGCTGCAAAATATCATAAAGTTTTAGAAAAGCTTCGTACGTAAATTTTAAATTTTTATTTTAAAAAATATTCATTTCTATTTATAGAAAGTAAAATTGTTATTGTTGAAGAAGCAGCTGCTATATTTGAAGCACATATAATAACTGCATTAAGTACAAAATGTGAACATTTAATTTTAATTGGTGATCATGTACAATTACGACCTAATCCAAGTGTATATAATCTTGGAATAAAATATAATATTGATGTATCATTATTTGAACGTTTAATTAAAAATAATTTTCCAAATGTTCGATTAAATATTCAAGTCAAATTTAACAACAAAAAAGTTTTAACAATAGAAAAAAAAATAACTATTTGTATTTTAGCATCGTATGCGACCAGAAATTGCTCGTCTTATGAAATATTTTTATGATGATTTAGATGATCATATAAGTGTTAAAACTGATCGAGCATCAGTACGTGGTATTGATAATAATCTATTTTTTATTAATC